GCGAAGATTGATGAGAGACGATAGGTTGCGTGTTAGGTACGCTAAATGTATGGAAGATAACGTCTCTAAGAGCTATGCGCAAAGGGTACCTGAGTTGCATTTGGAGTCGGACTATCGTCCTCGGTGGTATTTACCTCACCATCCAGTGTTGAACCCCAAAAAACCAGGTAAGTTGAGAGTGGTCCTGGACTGTGCAGATAAGTTTGCTGGAATCTCCTTAAACGGTATGATCTATCAATCGCCGGACAGCACCGCTGATCTGGTAAGGATACTATTGCGCTTTCGCAGGGAAGCAGTAGCGGTATCGGCAGATGTTGAGGAAATGTTTATGCAAGTGAAGGTACCCGAAGGTGACCGAGTAGCTTTAAGGTTTCTGTGGTGGGAAAGTGGGAACACATCTTAAGAACCTTCTGAATTTAGGACGACCTCTCATCCATTTGGAGCCACTTCATCCCAGTTTTGTGCGAACTTTGCTATGAATAAAACAGTCCAAAGCTTTTCCAGTGATTATGAGCGTTGTGTTGTGGATGCGGTCAAGAACAACTTTTACGTCGGTGACTATCTGATATCCTTTTCAAGTTTTGACCAAGCCAAAAAGTTGGCAGGCAGATAAGTGATTTGTTACGAAGAGGAATATTTAACTTAAAAACTTTGGTTACTACTTCAGAGGAAGTGAGGTCTATATTACCGGATATAGGTAACAAGGAGTCATTGTTAGGAATATCGGCGGATTGTACTGTTACTCATCGAACGCTTGGTATAGAATGGGATGTCGAACAGGACGTATTTAAGTTCCACTTTGATGCACCGGATAAGCCCGTGACAAGGAGAGGAATCCTATCTGTTGTTTCGTCCCTGTTCGATCCTTTGGGTCTGATCGCTCCAGTGTGCCTTACGGCTAAACTACTTTTGCAAGGTTTATGTAAGTCTCAAATAGGATGGGATCAACCTCTCGACGAACCATACGTGTCCACGTGGCTAGATTGGTTAAGTTTCATGCGTCAGTTGGGTCATGTCACGGTTGCTCTTATTAATGTAGCTTCTTTGAGTACATCTGATCAAGAAAAAATTGGATGTTTGAGCGTGGAGAATATAAGCGTCGGTGGCAATAGCGTTAGCCACAGTGATGGCACTACTGAGAGGGCTAACATTCGGTACCCTAGGTGCAATGAGGAGTCATCTAGGTTTCATGGACATGCTGTTGTGTTGAATATGCAGCATGAGGAAAAGAGCACGGAATTGTTCACCTGTCGCACTCCACCATCATTGACTTGTACTACAAGTATCGGGTTGAGCACTACCAACAGCGAAAAGATAGATAAGGCTAAAAACATTCCTAGTAAGGAAAGCAATGTTGATCGAGTAGAGTTAGCCACTGTGCATGAGTCGACTGGATGTCATGAGAAGTGTACTGATGCATATACAGCTGCGGCTATTGATGATAATAGCACTGATGATACTCCTGCGAGTAATAGTGATCGATGGAAGTTGAAAGACAATCATCGACATCGAAATGATCGTACGTGACGCTCACATACTGCTACACAAGGTGAGAAGCATAAGAAACAATATGATGCAACTATTATTAAGAAGCGTAAACTTCGTTCTCTTTCGGATGCTGTGACTAGCAATGGAAATAGTAGTCATCAGAATCTTAGTAGTGACAGCGATAGTAAAGAGACAGAAAGTTTGAGCAGTCCACCTATAGTGACTAGTCGATCTACTTCATCGAATGAACCTTCTAGTGTTTTGAAGTCATCGAACCCTGCCTCAAATGTAAAGTTGATTGAGGATACACAAGGTTGTGTAACTAAAAGTGTTCATACTTCCGTTGACTGTCAGTCAAGTGATGATGAGAAGGAAGTGACTGATGGTAACAGCCAGTCTACAGTGTTGCATGATAACGATGCTATTGACGTGCATATGTCGTGTGTCTCTGAAACGGAACATGAAGAACAACAAGTGAGTTTATCGGTTTTGGATTGTGACACTAATGCTGTTCTTTCATGTAGAGAGATGAGTTGTACAACAATGGAAGAGTTTCACTCTACGGATGCTAGTGCAGACCGAAACGACGCGACCTGTCTGACACAACGGAATCATGATGACGATGATAATAATCTGGATGTCACTGATGTGACAAATGAGTTGCCGACGATGACGAATGCTGATCAAACCTCCTCTGTATTAGGAGATGGAGAGATAAATATTGGTCCCATGTTATGCCACTTAGAGTCTTCAGGAGACGAGGAGATGTCAAAATTGGAGATCCCACCCTTGCATATTATCTATGGGTCAAGAACTTCTGTTGATAAGTCAGCATCACGGACTTCATTGTATCTGCCGATCGGAGCAAGTGGTGGTGGAATGACGACTCATCCCCATGACATGGAATGTAGATCCTGAATAGGATATGACCAGCTTTACAACGTGTTGTACATGTTTATATGGGTTAATTGGATAAGGTTTATACTACCGTTAGGTCATGCTACGATAGACAGGGGAATCAAGGACCTGATGGGAAGGTACAGATACATAGTTAGTCTGGTAGGTCATATCCATGTTGGAGGGCGGGTAGGCGTACTGCTGTAAGTCCTACCCGTTCTTCCGGTGTGGATTAGGGAATGAGAGTGAACCCTAAATTGAAGTGTCAAAAAAGGCTTGCTTTGCATGGAGGGATTTTGTCGGCCGGTGCAGAATATATTTTGAAGAATTAGTTTTTTGGAAAATCCCTCCATTTATATATATTTTTGTTATGACATGACGGACTCTTTCTGTTGACATTTTGGTATTTTATTTGATTCCATTTTCAGATTTTATCATTGTATATTGTTATTATTTCTATATCTTGTACTTATATTGAAGTTTTTATGTTTGCTTCTGAACCGTACATATGTTGTTTAAATTTGATATATAATATGGCTACAGCCATATTTGGATTTGATACTTTAGTAGTAACTGACTGGAAGCATTTATTCTTCCAGAAACGGAACCGATTGTGGTATTGGAAGCTCGAAGGTGTCTGTATTTCCCTTATTCATTAAAATAGAACCGTTTTCTCCCAGAATTATTGTGTTTTTGGTCCCTAACTGGGTGAACGAGTATGAACCTACACTTTTCGAGCCGGAGTGAACTGCCAGACTAGTAAATCCTGCCCAGGCATTTCGGCCTCTCATCGGAATTTTCAAATTCTAGGATGGGCATTTCTCATCTTTCGCTTATAGTCTATCGTATAACCGATCCTTAACATCGTTGTTGTTATTGTTGATGGGCCCCTAGAATTGGATTACGTCTATTGTAACGCCCTTTTTCTTCGTTTTAAATAATGCTTTGACGATCCCGGGTCAGTGAGATTCTCATCCTATCAGTGCCTTTTGTGCTTATTGGGATAGTATTAGTGCAAACCCTCTTGTATGCTTAGCATTTCTTTCTTCATAGCTGAAGTATCACACCCGCTCTTCTGAAACTAATCTTGGTTGTCCAAAATGCGTTGAATGCGTTTCACTGATTCCAAGCACTTCCGGGTTGTATCTTTTCATTTCTGCAGTAAGTTGGATGGCTCTCCCAGTCGCTCACAATACTCAGAAATTCCATGCATCTAAATTAACGGTTGTTCTGTTTTTTACAAGGGGAATTATCATGGAGACTTCCGAAGGAGCACAGCTTTCATCATGAGGCATTAAAACTCTTCTGAATAAAAACCTTCTAACTACCAGTGCGGAGTTTAAATGGTTTGAATTATTTTTTCTGAGTAGCGTTTTTTTAGCGGGATGCGGTCGCTAACCCCGTGATGAACACTTTTTTTTATTGGCCGTAGCCCTAGATGGGCTCCGAGTGGTGTTGAGTTAAAAAATCTGGAAGGCATTTAAGCTTATCATCCAGTATTTTAGTTGTGTTCTGCTGTAATCAGAACAAAATATAGAAATATGCGGAACAAGTTCGAAATCATAAGAATAAAATCAACTTGTAAATTGTCTTTATGATCAGTATTTATGTATGCTGTCCGCGTATTACAAAGGACCACATACCATAGAGTACTTTTTATATCCTGGTGTAGATGTGTGATTATACGCCTTCAACGTGTGTGTGTCCAATAAAACTAATGAGCTCCGTGCAAGTGTCGAAGACTTATAGAACTAAGTATATGGGGTGTTTAATAACCTATACCGTTTCCTCTATGACTAATGATTTTCCAGACCACCGGAAATCATCAAAAAGCCTTGATTGAAAGATCGAGGGTTAGGATGTTGAACTTCTTGGGAAAAGTCATAGACTTGAACACCCTTGCAAACGGGTATATCCAAAGTTACCGATGGGCACTTTCAAAGAAAAGATATCATTTTCACGATGACGCACATGTAGATCACCATTGTAGGTTATCTGTATCATTGGCTGCAGGTCTGCTTGAGTTTTACGGGAAAGAAATCAATTGGTTTATATAAGTTCGTAAAAACGATAATGGATATTAGATCTATTTTACCCTGGATTTACCCCTCTTAGTTAACACTTGGAGTAGATCGTGTTATCATAACTAGACGACTGGCTAGAATAAATACACATAATCGAATCAGAAAATTATACAAGCAGTAGGTAGAATCACTTCTGGATCCTCGTGCCTATGGCATCCAGGTGACTGATATGGGTTAGTTTTTGCTGAACTTAAAAATTGATAAACTGTGTGATATCGATTGACCTACCAGCTAGATGATTTGGCTTGGACCTAGTGACATTTCACTGACCTTACACAGGTTCTATGTTTTTAAATCAGATCAGATCCGTTGATGTGTCTTGGTATGAAAATTTGGGATCTTCCTAAAGTATAAACTGTCAAAGTAATATCAGAAAGCCCTGACGGTAACAAATTTTCAGTTTCCAGTAATCGTCTTATTTATGACTAAATATTTATTCATAATTTTGAGAGGCCAAACAGGATTATCAATTCTGATGAAATTACCAGTGCAACTCATTTTCCAGAAAATACTATGTAACAATTGAAAATTGAGCATGTTTTGTTTAATCCGCGGGAGGAGACGTAACACATTCTTCTGCTCATTTAGTTGTTATGACTGACGCTGGTTTCTTTAAGGTTCCTGTCACTTGATTTTAATTTGTTTGCTTACAATATGTAGGGTACAAGTGCTGAGCAAGATGCCAGATTCGCAGATAAAAAGAAAAAGTTGATGAAAACTATGAAATTCGGCGAGAATTTGGCTCAAAAGGCATGAGCTCTATTTGTTATATATTTTCAGGTTGACATGTCCAAAATTAATTTGGAGTCCATAAGACCTTGGATTGTCAAACGTATAACGGAGCTTCTAAACTTTGAGGATGAAGTCGTCTGTGACTACATTTTCAACCAGCTAGAGGAGCGCGTAAGTTCTGCAGCTTTTTATCCGTAGGTATTGAATTCTCAAAAACAAGTAATTTTAGTTTTAGTCAAAAGTAGACCTGTGATTAAACGCTTACCACTGTATAATGTTTCTATTTGGCTGCTCAATGTTATTAGTGGCTGTTTAGATAGTCGTTATGGTATGCGTTGTAAGCGATCTATTACCAGGTACTTAGCTGAACTTCTCCTTGACACCAGCTTATAGTCCGGAAGGCACAAATATTGACCACTTTTATACAAAACCCTCTGATCAAGATCTAGCTGTTACTTCAGTATTACTTGTTTTGACGGAAGCATTACTGGAATAATTGTATCGGTGACTTTGTGAGTAGGTTTAAAACCTGTCACAAAAAGCTTGAGTCAGCGCTGTATGAACATTAAAAGAACAAGACAGCTCTGACTCACGTTTATTTATACTAGCTTTTAAATAAGTACTTCCATTGATTTATTCTAGTTGTGCGTACGTTTCTTGACAAACATGAACTCCATTCGGTTTCGCATGTAAAAGCTATCTATCGTTAGGTATTATTAAACTAAGCAGTAAGATATCTTACCTTTTCTTCAGCACAAATCTTATGTCAAAATGCGTTTTTTTTCCTTGGTTAGAATTCTGTTGCCAGTTGATGGTCGAACATAAAAATTATGGTTATGAAGCGTTTGAGTTCGTTGGCGACGTAAAGTTGTGGTAGTAATGTGCATCAGCTTAGTTTGCTACATTATAACTCTGATATAGTTAATGTTTCTTGTATGTATAATCGGAACAAAGGTAGTTAATTGTCTTAGCGAAAAATTGAAGTAGATCAGTTGTCATGAAATAGTAGAATGTTTTTGGAAAACTACGGCACATCTGTGTAAAGCTGAAGTTTGATAAAGACAATTCTCGCAACTAATTGGGCATTTACTATACGTTGAAACAAAAAGAAATTTGTATTAAACGAGAAGTATTCAACATTCCGCATTGCTCTTGTGCAATGTTTGTTTGTTGTCATGTTGTATCTCAATCAGATTTTAGCATTTTGATTTCCTTCATAAATTCTTGTTTCAAATTGACAGTGATTAGTATGACATTCATGTCGATATACACCATGAGACTGTATATTTACCGTTTCTGTTGGTTGCTACAAGTCCTGACTGTTTAATAGTTTAGTATGTAATCTAAATAAGTTATTTTTCTTTCAAAGGCTTAGCAATGTGGAAACTACTTTCTCACCTCAGAAAATCAAATGTTTACACATTAAAATCAACCACCACTGGTATTTTAGCATATCACTTAGAAATGATGTAAATTCATTTTTAACGTGGTTGGGATTTATTAACTCACGTTAATATTATAAACTAGTTAATACCGTATTATTCCATTTTTACATTAACTTATATTCATGATTTGTTTTTCCAATTTTAAAGTTGGTTTCGATTAAATTTTCAGGTCTTTTGGAATGCACATCGACAAACAATGGTGGAACTCAGATCTCCTGCGACGCACTGAGTGCGCTGCCGGTACAAATTTGAGCTTGTCTGAAGATTAATTTATTTAATAATTAATATATATTCTGTCAATTAATCTGGTATTCACCTACCCAAGTTATCTATTATTTTCTATTTCTTCTAGCATCCAGATCCAAAGGAAATCCAGATTAATATAACGGGATTTCTAAACAGCAAAAATGCACGAGTGTTTCTCTCCGAACTTTGGGATTTATTGCTATCAGCTATGCAGACTTCAGATGGCGTCCCAGCAGTTTTTCTGGAGGCTAAGAAAGAAGAGATCGCAAAGCGTCAGGTAATCTATGGACTTAAAACTTGATAAATTGGTATTCATTTCACTTATGAATTTCTACTTCACAAATAAACATGATTTTTTTACATGATAAATTTAATGATTGACCAGTCAGATGGGATTACGCCCAACTCTCAGATTCTACCTGTCAGTGGATCTCGCTGCTGAAGTTGAACCATTATCCTTAAGTATCTCGACTTAATCTATCAGGGCCTGCTGCTCTCTCGCTTTAAATTGCTTATAACCTTTTTAACTTAATCAAGAATTGGACGACTTGCGTGATTTTGATTGGAGTTGATCGGTAGTTGAAGGTCATCAGAGCTGTTCCCCATATTGTTTTGCCCATCAATTTTATCTCATGGATTGAGAGTAAATAATAATGCCATGTTTTTCTGGGAGTCTCACTAACAGTCTGATTTCTACTACCGACTTCCTTGGTAAATCTGAATGGTTGTCTACTGTTGTCTATTGGTGCTGCCTTTTCCATCATCTCTCTTGCTTCCGTTACCCGCTAGTGTTCGCAATCATTCCATAGGCTCCTTATCAGCCTCTGCTTAAGTCGACTCCGCTCCTCTTCATGTTTGAAGCCAGATGCGATGAGTTTTTGAGCTTTGTTTATCAGTTCAGTAGATACCACTGAAATCCACCGTAACTTTTTGGTATGACTTACTGGCATATATATACTGTTTCTACAGCTTTTTTGATATCATTCCTAGCTACATCAGGGTGGGTATCACTTACATGACTTTCTAACTTCTAGTTGCTGGTGAAATATACTCCTGGCTTTGCTATTGTTCAGTAAAACTCTAAGTAGTTTCTTCGCAGTGTCTTTTTTACAACCAGTAAGACGCAGGCGAATACGCGCTTGTGCTAAATGATTACTCGGATCTCAACATGTGGTATGGCAACATGAACTGATGTACTTACGTACCAAGTTCTACGTTGCATCTGACTGACTAACATGTGCCAGCGACAGCCTTCTGTCGAGCCTCTCCGTCCATGGTTGATAGCAGTATGATCTAGTCGGGTCCAGCATTAGGTTTGTTTTGGGTGGTCGCCACTTCAAAATATGGTTTTCCTTATGCTTTAACGTTAAGTATTCATTTTTGTTTTTGTCTCTTTGTGTCTGTCTTTTAATGTTATGATTTGCTAGAAACAGGTGGTTTTCTGGGCATAGCTGCAGTAGACGCCGTCACTATCTGTTATCAGCCGCGACACAATAAGATTTACTTAGGTGTATTTCGTTTTCGCTTAGTCTGCCTACTTGAGCATGAAAATCACCGGCCATTATTACTACATTAGAGCGCTTAGCTATTTGAGGAAGGTAGAAAAGCTTTGTGTAAATTCAATTTTCACCTTATCCGAGCCGCAGTCAGTGGGAGCGTAAGCAGGGGCAACAAAAAGGGAACAGCTAATGTTCCTGTCCTTCCGAGTTCTTACTGTCCCGTTTGGTCGGACCGTGTATAAGCAACCATCTACTGGGATCCAGTCTAAGCGAGTTAGTTTTGCTTTAGAATTCAGTGCTGTACCTACACTAGCGTGGGAAGCAGCCATGAGGCTTCCAGATTCACGAAGCATAGATCGAGATAGTTCTTTATTTTGACAAAGTAAGGCCAAATAAATGGTTTTACTCGGATCCTGTATGCGTGTATCGGAGACGCCTGTTCTCCTATTTGGCTCAAGGTTTGGACATTACCCACTTCGACATGTAGTTTAGAGTGAGGTTTCAAGAGACCGGGGATAACGTTTCGTGTGCTCAAGTCCTTAGCGGCTCGAGGTGACAAAGGTATACAAGTAGGGTTACTCGTTGAAAAAAGAATTAATAAGAGACGGAGGACGGCTTTGATTGTCAGCAGGTTGGTCTCATGTGCTTTTAGTATTATCAAGGCTGTTGCAACTTCCCGGTCTCTCACACCGTGGTAGGATATTTCTTCTGTAACCTGGGAACGTAACCGCAGATCCCATTAAACAATTTGGGCTTAATCACGTACTGCCGTTTTATGGGAAGTTTTAATTCTGTTAGCTCCACCCTTCAAATGGTCGTTGGGATGAGGTGAAGTGTGACATTCTTAGTGTCGATCTTCTTTAGCCCTCTCCTCCCGTTGTGAGAATGCAGCCTCACTGTAGATGCTTGTTGTCCGAGGTAAACACCTTACTGCTGTCAACCCCAACGGTCAGTAGTACGACTTCGTTCTCAGATCTTGAATTGCTGCGTTTAGTCTTACCGTTCTTCAATCGACCTGCCTGGCATGCTAGGTCCTAAGGGAACGTATCCCAGCCACTAAAGCTCCACCACTATGCCAAGTTGGCAGCTACTCAGCTTACAAGTTATCTGGCTTACCTAAACATCGAAAGAATGTCGATATTTGATCTTATTGTTTTAATTTCCGCTTTTCAAGTGAGTAAGTGCTAACTAAATATTATTTTCTTTATTTCTTTTCCTTAGGAGGATGAAAAGCTTTTACATGAAATGCGACGGAAGGAAAATGAGATTGTTCAGAAAGGAGCTAGTCGAACATCGAATCTGAATTCTGAACAAATGGATAATCAGAAGCGCGTTTTGTCTACCAAAAGCAATGGAATGGCAGAATCTGAGGAATCGAAAAGTATGCATTTTTGTGTCAGTTATTCATTGCAAACGTTTAGTATTCATGTATAAAATTACATGAAGTTTGTACCTATTTCTGTGGGGTTTTAACCTAGAGATTCAGGTTATCAACTGTCATTGAGAGTATCTAGTAAAAAAAATTTCAGCTTCAGCCTCTGTGATGTTACCTGCTCATGAACTAATAAATCTACAACTCAATAATCAAAGCTGTCAAGTTACAAACTGGGTTACGAGTTCCGTAGTCTCGGAGCATCTACATGTGCTTGGAAAGTCGAGTCTAACCCCCCAAACAAGTGTTTCTAAAGACGAATACATAAACATTTAACATTTAAGACACACCACACGGTTCTCTCCTTCTGAATTTCACAAAAATGCTTAAGTGGTTCTTTTCTCATCAACAAGCCGACAGTCGTCGGCTATGACCAGTGTAGTAGAACCCTATGCTAATGCTCTTTAGGCTAGGTCTCTATATACATAAGCGTGGTTGAATGAAATTGGCAAGATAGATAGTGCATAAATCAAAATATTTATGTAGCAGTGATAGTGAGAATAACCAAGCATCAAGAAGTTCGTTCAAAAACAGTATTAGTAGAGGGTGCATATAAAGAAATAATTGGGACCCAGGTGCTAGAATAAGATGAAGAATGCATGCATCTGAGCCATATATCACATCTTTAGTCACTAAAGTGGTCGGTGCACCCACTTATCTCACTTCCTATCGTCAGTGAAAATGTTGACGCAGACCAAGAAAAAAATTGATCTCGACTGTACCTGTTTACTCAGGGTGAAAGGTTTTTTGGGTATTAGCTCCACTCTTAAAAGCCCTTAGTGGGCAGCCATTACCGCCGGAGACGGAGTCTCATCAGCTCTGGTAGCCTGGTGGCTGACGAAATCTCAGCGCGGATACAGAAAGCTCTATTTCCTTTTGATAATTTACGCCGTTTTTGGCGTAGGCGAGATATCCGTTCGCTAACCAAAGGACGTGCGTACTGCACAGCAGTTCGCTCCGTTCTTCTATATAAATGCGAAACATGGCCGTTAAGAGTAGATGTTCGTATGTAACCATTATTCAATCATAGATGTCTTAGAAGCATTGCTCGTATATCGTGGGACAACCGAGTAAGCAATGCTGTCGTTAGGAAACGAGTTCTAGGTAAGGATGGCAGATCAATAGATGAAGCATTGAAACTTCACCAGTTGAGGTGGTTGAGACATGTGTTACAAAAGCCCGACCGCCTCGGCGAACGATGTTTTGTGGTGTAGGTGTAGGATGGAAGAAAGCTAGTGGCGGCCAAACCAAAACATGGCAGAAATCCATGAAGTCACTGACAAGTGGACTGAGTCATGTTGGCAGATGTCAACTACCAAGTTGGGGCCCGCGAGATTATAGTAATCGGTGGTTAGAGACTCTTAATGACATGGCTCAAAACCGTTTACAAAGGCTCAGGTGCATTCATTCTTTGTGTTCTCACCAATCCTACCTAACCTTCTGAATTCCTCATTACCTTTATCTTTTGCTTTTTAAGTTTTTTTCACTAGATTTTACTTCTTGAATAATATCATCGAACCCTAAAATTTCCGATTACTTTTGATACGTCTACTACCTCTACTACTACGGGATTTGAATTGACAGTTGCCTCTCTGTGGTAATCTGGTATGGCAACTTGAACTGATGTACATACATACGAAACTCAGTATTGTTGTTGACTGACTGAATCAACCGAAGGAGCTAATTAGTATAGATTATATAATTCTACCTGAGTTTAATTTTATTGAAAGTTTGTAAACCTGCTCGTCGTGATCTGGAGTTCGTGAATCCAATCCAAGTTAATGAAGTAGCGTGTAAACTTCTAAGTAAAACTTGACATTACAAACTGATCGGTAGTATATTTTATTACTTTGTAAACGTTAATTTCAAAAGTTACTAATTATATTCTTAGTAGTTTCGAACTATGCTAACATGACATTTGAATAATTAAAGGGACTGGTCAGTTTTGTAAATCAAACATCATTTCCCTTCAGACTACCACATCGCTTAACGACACAGAAACAATTTGAGAAATCGGGAAAGCTTCAGACAAATAAACATCGAAAATATGTTGCTTATTTTTCTTCGGCTTAAACTGAATGATAAACCATCTGTCAACTAACCTCTTCGTGATCTATCACAAGTCATGTCATCTTGAGTTCTTAAACACTATACTGTTATTTTGAAGACATCATCCAGTCACTGGATTCACACAAGTGTTATCTTTGGCCTAGCAGGAAAATAAAATTTCGACTTAATCGTACTCCAACTGAGATGATGTATTCCTGGGCCTTAAGTTCGCCGTCGAAAAATTAAGGCTCTTCAATTTCAAACAGACTTAATTATCTATCGTAAGAGAATTTCCAAGCTTTCATACAAATGTTGGTGTTGATGTGTCCAGTTGCTGATCGTGTTATCTTAATTTTTTCAAATTTGCGTTTTCATAACAAACTACTCTCGTTCAATAAAATCTAGCAGTTGTTCAAAATACGACAGAGGGAATACTTATTTCCATTCCACATTTAACTACTTCACCTCACCGAAGTGATGGAGTTAAAAGATCAGTCCGAAACAACTCGTCGTATTTGCACCAAACAGAGCAACCTGAAGTTATAGGGTAACACGTTATTCCTAATTAATGAGTCGCAACAGCCCCAGTTGCTAGTTCCACGGGTAAACATTCGGATTATTGTGGAGTAGGTGCATCGCGAACTCGATCACTCAGGAGAACGAAGGACTAAATAGGCCGTCCGCCGGCGGTTTTTGTGGTTATCCACATACACGGAGATGTAATCGGATTTAGCAGGAATCGCAACACATGTTGCAGTTTGTAATGTAGAAATTTACCATTACAAACTGCCGATGATTTGAGAAATCTATTCGGGGTTTAGGACCTGCATGATACGTCGATTTCAATTCATCTGTAATACCATCAATAAAGATAAGCATCTCTATTACCATGTAGTTAAGGACTCTTAGTAATATAGGTTTCTTCTCTGTTGATGTTGGGGCCATAAAAAAGTGAAGATGCAAGTTGGTAGATCCATTTTACAAAGGTATTCAAAAAGATGACTTTTAAACCAAGGATATTAGCAACGTACCTCTGAGAAGATGAAGACAATTCGTAGGGAACTTGCCAGGGCTGGTATAATTCTTCACTTCAAGTGGTGTCCGTCAGGGATGTCCACTTTCTCCATTCTTGTTTAATTTTATCATAGACACGCTCCTAGAAATAACCTTATCCTCGTCTGAATTTTCAGGAGTAGACCTTTTACCAGGTGGCTCGCTTATTGACTTAGAATATGCCGATGACATAGTCCTACTTGGTGAAGACGCTGACAAAATGCAGAGTCTTCTGACTACCCTAAGCAACAATGCAAGCATGTTCGGGATGCGGTTTTCCCCTTCGAAATGCAAAATGTTGCTTCAAGATTGGGTTTCATCGGAGACTGAACTTGTGATAGGGAGTGAAGTAGTCGAACGTGTAGACCGCTTCACTTATCTTGGGAGTCTCATCAGTGCCGATGGCCTGTTGACTGACGAAATCTCAGATAATGAAAATTCATCAGTTGAGGTGGTTGCGACATGTGTTGCGTATGCCTAAGCACCGACTGCCTCGTCGAGCTCTGTTTTGTAGTGTAGGAATAGGTTGGAAGAAAGCTTGTGGCGGCCAAACCAAAACATGGCAGAAATCCATGAAGTCGTTGACGACGAGTGGACTTAGCCATGTCGGTAGTTGTCGACTACCTGGTTGGGGTCCGCGAGATGATAATAATCGATGGTTAGATACCCTGAATGACATGGCTCAAAACCGTTTGCAATGGCACCGGTGCATTTATTCTTTGTGTTCTCTCAAATCCTTATCTTCTGGATTCTTCAACCCCTCTACTTTTGACTTTCTCAACTTTTCTCACTGAATCATACTTCTTGAATAGGATATTCTAATCCTAACCTATCCGATTTCTTCTAATACCTTTACTACGTCTTCTTCTCTTGGATTTGAATTGACAATTATTATCTCTGTGCTAATGTGGTATGGCAACTTGAAATGAAATACGTACGTACGAAGTTCTACGTTGCAAGTGACTGACTGACTGGTGGAATTTAGGGCAAGTTTCTAACGATATCAGGGGGCAATGTAGCCAGACGCTATTCCCGACTGCATACACCGGTCCCTTCACCTGATGGTCGTACATGTCTTTTCGGTGTCTGCTAGCCTTGCGCAAGTTGATGCTAACCAAGCGGTATGTATCTGCCAGGCGGTTACGATGAGTATATGCGGTAGTTGTTCTTGAGCTTTGCAGGGCAATAAAGGCGTCTATATCTCCACCCGGTAGGCTTAATTCATGCCTGAATAGCTAAATAGTTGGTTAGAATCGTGTGGACCCATGTACCGATGTACGAGAAGCTGGAAGACATTGGCGTAATACATCATTCCTCAAATCAGGCAATGATTCGCTGACGAACGACTGTAAGATGGCTCTAATAGTTCTGTTTGTTCTCTCCGCTTGACCGTGATACGCAGTACTGTGTGTCTTCATTCCTAATAGCCGGCATATCTAAGCGAAGAGATGGCTTTCAAAGGCTGGACCTTGGTCGGAGTGAAGTGAGATTGGAGCACTGTAACGGGAAACCCAATGATCAATGAAAGAGAATTCTTGTCACCGTTTTTTGACACTAGACGGTCGATAAAAACTTTTGTCCTTTGTATGTCAACGTGTGCAAAAATTCTGTCAATGATGCGAAATCACAAACAAAGCGTCTGTAGGAAGAAGCGAGCTATAGGGAACTACAAACGTCGCCGGGTGTTTTTGGCTGCGGTCAATTAACAGTGGCGCGTGTCTTTTCTCCATCGGTACCTACCCCATTTACGGTTATACGTTGTCCCAAGAAGACTACTTCTTTCTGCAGTTGTCGGCATTTGCATGGTTTTACTTTTAAGTTGTGTTATCTGAAGCGCTGGAGAAACGGCTTTCAGTTTAGCATTGTGTATTTTCGATGTGGATGTTCGATATAAATATTTTGTTTTCAATTAACAAATTCATCGTTTATTTAGTCTTATTGGCTAGAGATTTACACTTGACTACAATCAGTAGTGCCTTTGTTTTTACTCTGTAATCATTACATGTAGTAATTAACTGATTTTTCTAGTATGTGAATGAAAATTAAAGTATACTCATTAGAATTACTGTTTTTTTTTCTCAGCTTTCGCTAATCGTAATCGTTCTACTTCACGAACATCATCACCAACTGCTGCTCAACCATCTACAAATAATACAGAAAGTTGTGAAAAGCCTGTAAGTGTTTTGGTTTTTATTTATTGTTACACCATAACTTTTCCATTGATTTATTTTGTATTTTTTATCTTAAATTGTTGATACTATTATTGTTATGATGATGATGATCATTGTCATTACTATTATATCAAGGCAGTAATACAACAATTTTCTGTTTGATACTTTTTTTGATGTTACACCAATTTATAACTGCTTTCACTCCCGACCGTAGCTGCTACCTTGACGTGGTGGTCGGGCTTGCCTATCGTGATGACCCAACCGAGCTATACTGGCTGGAACATATGTTCCTGCAGGTCCTACCATGCCAGGCAGGTCGATTGGAGAACGATGAGACTAAAAGCAGCTACCCAAGGTCTGAGGGCGAAGTCGTACTGCTGACTGTGATGGAGGGGTGTGACAGCAGTAAGGTGTTTCCTTCGGACAACCAGCATCTGCAGCGATGCTGCCTTCTCACAAGGATGGAAGGGTTAGAAAAGGTCGACCCTAAAAATGTCACACCTCCCCTACCTCAAGAAACAACCTTCCACGGTGTGGGCAGCCGGGAAGTGACAACCGCCCTCATACCCATAACAGCACGAGACCAAATTGGTCGAAATCAAATCCTTCCTACACCCACACATACCTCTCGTCTCTCCACAACTAACTGTACTCACATTCGCTTACCTTACTGCACCGCTAATGCAAACGATGCGAGTTCACGAAACGTCATTCCTGGTCTTTTGAAACCTCGTTCTAGTCTACATACCCATACCCATAACTGCTTTCAGTACACTATTGTTATTACTACAGTGATAATGTTTCATGACGCTTCACATTATGTGACTTTTACTAATCAATAGGTTGGTCTTCGAACATTAACTGATGTATGTTAATTTTTGTGAAATTTTAGGATAAAATAAACAGTCGTACTGCTCACCGAGATGATTCGAGTTCATCACGTTCCCCTGAGGGACACCGTCGCCGTCGTCATCATCGCCATTCTCCGGAAAGATATATGGTTGATGCAAAACGTCGTAGATCACGTTCACGCTCTCATCATCGTCGTCGACGTTCTAAATCTCGTTCCAAATTGGAACAGAAACCGTAAGTGATACTAAATGCATAGTTAATGAGTATATTTCTCAAATTCATTATTCTTTCTAAACTTGCGTCAACATTTCTTTAGCTTTGTCCAACGTTCAGAGAGTTTTGCGTTGCCACATAAAAATTTATTTATTACATTACTGATAATACTTTTTGTTTTTCAATAGGAAATCACCGGCTACAGACTGGAGAAAAGATTTGATGGCTGGTAGACGTCGTAGTCCACCGGAAATGCCAGAGAGTAGTTATTATGAAAATGAAAAACGTTCCAAAGGTCATAAACGTTCTAAAAAGCATGACAAACAAAGACATGACAATAGTCATTCACACAAATCGCACAAAAGATCTCCATCTCATAACACTGACCATCATCGATCTCGTAAGCATACGCATGATACAGGATCTCGACATCGTAGCATGATGGAAGTCAGTGAACGAGAACAAAGATCAGGTTATTTAGAACAGTCACGAAAGGATAGTTATGCTGAAAACTATAGAAAATATGAAGGTCCTGACCTGCCTGGTCATTATGATTATCGTTCAAATAGTAGATACAGACACGATGCTGAATCATCGCATGGTCGTAACGCTGCAAGTCCGGAATCAAGCCGCATGCGCGATAGAGAACCCGACTGGTCTCACAGAGATCATGGTCATCGACATAATCATCAGCTTGATCATACAAAACGACGGGAGACATCATCTGGACATGGAAATTTTTCCCTGGATAGGCGTCATTATCACCGTCTACCAAGTCCTGAAGGACCATTACTACCTCCAAATATTTCTAAAAGACCTTCGGATTCCAGAATCAACGAAGGTTAGTTAACATTTCATGTAAATTTTTTGTGGATTTAACCGTTTTGCTTGTTCATTTGCAATATTATATGAAGGTTTTACGTATAAAATTGTTTAAACATGTATAATGAAGTTTTTGACCATTCAAGGTAAATTCACGGTTCCAAAGGACACAGTAACAAATAGTAGTACGGTCATTAAAGTATGTCTGCACGTTATAACAAAATCCTCCTCATAAAAGTACACTGATAACTCAAAAATGAAATCTAATCGTACCTAGGGAATTAGTTATTTATCATGTGTTCTCTAAATTAAAGTATATTATGTTACATGTTAATAGTTTCAAACAATTTACATGTAGGAAAATATGTTATCTGCCTAAGTCTATTGGAAAGTGTATATTGGATTTACTATGATTGAGTTAAGCCGACGGTTAGGCGAATTGTTCATCTTTTATTCCCATCACCAGAATGTGACTCCTGGTCGAAAAATCGAAAGCTCATTTTATCCGTCGTATTATGTAGGTCTATCGATCTAATTACGAAATCTAACTAGATATCATATAAACACAGATATGTATTTCATTACGTTGGAGATTGATTGGTATTTCAGTTGAAATCAAGCCGTAAAAAAGAAATTATCTTGGAATTATCACTTTTGTATGTAATACCCAGTTAAATAATAATTGAATGTTTCCTGGTGACTATCATCTATAAGCTCGATTCCTGAAAGTCCTAGTAGGAACTCGTTACCAGTGGTAACAAACCTAATTTGGATTAATGGAGAGTTTCCGTTGGAAAAATTTAAATCACTGAACTTGTTGACAAGATAGTGTCTTCTTAATTAAATAATGTTAAAAGTAGTCTGGTTTTTTCATCATTCGAAGTTACGATTTAACTTCTTCAACTTTGTTGTTTGCTTCCAGGTGTCACTAGTAAGCGTGCAAAACGTAAGGCATCGGCTTCGTCGAGCAGCAGCTCATCAAGCAGCAGCAGCAGTAGCAGCAGCTCTAGTAGTAGTAGTAGTAGCAGTAGTGGGAGCTCTTCTAGTAGCAGTGATAGTGAAAGCGAGGGAAATGAAGAGAAACCTAAAATGCCATCAGTTGAAACTATCAAGCAAGAGCCCACTCATGAAGGTCCTGCACTTCCTCCAGAGCCAGAAGTATCTCAACCTGAAGGACCTGCTCTTCCGCCGGAAGTGGAACTCGCTGTGGAGTGGTCAGAAAACCCAGCCAATTCCGGGTCTACATCCCCAAGTTCAGCCAGTTCAGAATCTAGTGGTGGTGATGAACACAGTGAAGAATCAAGTTCAAGTGATAGTGACAGCGGCGACGGCGGCAGCAGCGGTGGCACTAGTAGTGGTACCAGTAGTAGCAGTAGCAGTGAAAGTGATGCAGAAACTAACAAAAAACCTAAAAAATCCAAACGAAATGGTAAACAACCTAAAAGTCCTGAAAATCATATCTGTCCTGAAGGTCCTGCTTTACCTCCTATTCCTAGTTCTAATTCACATAAGGTATATCTTCATCCTACATAGTTGTATTTTCTGTTATTTTTATTATTCCTTATTATTTTTGTTTTTTTTAAAGAATTTTGTTTCATGTCAGATTTCTTTGAAGGTTGATTTGTATTTGTCAACATTTCACATGTCCGAATGTTGATTAATAATAATTAAATGCACACACACACACACACTTTTGTAGCAAGCATATGCACGTTGTGTAGTGCGAAAAAAAATTCTACTAACATTAATGTGTAGTTCGGTTAAAAATTCAATAAAAATACTTTTATATTGATCCTTGGCTAACTCACTCATTAAGAGTTTTATTATCATCGTCAGTTTACCTCCGATGTTGAATAAATTGCGCTTTGTTTGTTGAATCTGATGTAGAGTAATCGATAAGCGTTAAGTCATTGTTGAATATTTCATAACGATGTTGGAGAGATGACATGAAAGAATTGTCTGTGTTTGTTTTATTTTGTTATCCGTAAGTTCCAGTATGCATGATCAGAATTTGTAACCTGTCTGAGAGCTTTATTTACTTTATTGGTAATTCTGGACAGCCACCCTGAAGTATCTATCAAAGCTGGATCACTACTCGTTCATGCTGATTTTTTTCAGAACTTATTAAATTATATCGGTCATTTGTACATCCTGGTTAATCCAGCTACAGCGTACTTGGTACGTACATGCACCAGTTCAAGTTACCATATCATATTATCACAGAAAGATGTAATGGTCATTTCGAATTCCGTGCTGGCAGAGATAGTAGCAGTAACAGTAATGATGCTTCATCAATTGAGGTGGTTGAGACATGTGCTGCGTATGCCTAACCACTGACTGCCTCGACGAGCTTTGTTTTTTAGTGTAGGAATAGGTTGAAAGAAAGCTAGGGGCGGCCAAACCAAAACATGGCAGAAATGCATGAAGTCATTGACAAGTGGACTGAGTCATGTCGGTAGTTGTCAACTACCTGGTTGGGGTCCGCGAGATGATAATAATCGATGGTTAGAGACCTTGAATGACATGGCTCAAAACCGTTTGCAATGGAACAGGTGCATTTATTCTTTGTGTTCTCTCAAATCCTAATCTTCTGGAATCGTCAACACCTCTACCTTTGTCTTTCTAAACTTTCAATTGACAATTATATCTCTGTGCTGATGTGGTATGTCAACATGAACTGATGTACTTACGTACAAAGTTCTTCGTTGCATCTGACTGACAATAGTGGCAGTGGAAACGATTAAGAATCGAATATACGATTCGAAAAGTATATCCCAGTGGAATAAATTTAAAAAGAGAAATGTGGTCATTTAGTCACGGTCAGAAGATTTGAATTTGAGTAAAGACTAAGAATGGACGCATCTGCGCGATCACAAACGATTTCGAGCCGTGCCATTCAATGTCTTTAACCATCGGTTACAATTGTCTCTCGGACCCGAACCAGGCAGTCTACACCCACTTCTACATATGGCTCAATCCGGTTGTCAGCGTTCGCATCACATCCCCACTGACTATCCCTTCATGGCAAATGGATCTATTAGGCATATGAAATTAATATGGTTTGAAAATATTTAGTGACTTCCTCTCATCTTTTACCTTATAGGGTCTTTGCGAAAACTTAGTGAAAGTAAGGCTAACAACATTTTACAGAATACGCTTAATCCTTCTAAATCAAGACTTCTAATCAAAATTACAAGTGTGCAGCTATTAAGGGTCATTGTAATTCTTCAAATTTTCTCTCCTACTTTGTTACACTTTTTGACCACGAAATAAAATATCGTTAGCATTCCCTACCCCACTCAGTCACATCTTAGTCCTTGCAATAAGTTTGTATAGACTAAGCGAATATGAAGCTCCATCTATTTTTATCTTGAACTGTATCTCTCTACGTCTCCACATATATCGCCTTAATTTTGCGGACTTCAAGCAGATAATCTGTATCTGCCGACATGGCTCATTCCAGCAGTCAGTATTTTAATTGGTTAATGTCTCTTAGCTTTCTTCTAACTATGACTGCGTGTCGGAGTATGCGTGACACATGTCAGATACATCTATCTATGAAGATTCATTACCTTATCAACGCCTAACACTAGGACTGGTCAGTTGATTGTTCTACTTTAAGCAATGATTTCTTAAATGATACCTTGTAAATTACACACGTCTTCTACTTTTATAGACTATGTTTCATATAGTACGGAGTAAACTGCCACTATAGGCGGACATTTCCACACTACAAGTGAGCCGAATAGGCGAAAGCCATATGGGCTTTCGGAATTCACGCAGAGATTTCATCAAGCACGAAACCACCAGAGTAAATAAAACTTCCAAAATATGGTTTTCCACACATCCAACTACTTCACTTCCTATCATTAATTTAGCCGTCGACACATACCAGTCCTGAAGATAAATTTTAAATTCAGAGGGAGAGAAATGTATCTCAAACTCTTAGTTTGTTTTTGAAGTCATTTCGAACGCTAATGTTGGTGTCTTCCCTGAGTAAGACTGTGTCCTCCACGTACGCTAGATTTCCTTGACGGCAGTAGATAGTGGGCTCCCATGACGAACGTCACTTAAAGTTAACGGTTTGACATAGGCTCTAGTTCAGTCAATATTGTGCTGGTGTTTGGTTCTCTGAGCTGGATGTTTTGGTTGTGCAGCTTTCATTGTTCTTCTGCTGAGTAACATCATCAGTACAAACTTCAGATAGAAGTGAAGCATTCGAATTTCTCTACGTTTGACCTGTAGCTTGTTGTGCTAAGCTCGATCTTCATTGGTTGTTGTTGACCTCTACAACGTCCAGCCCAGGAAACCAAACGCCACTACAATCATCCTTCTGAGCTACAAATTTTCTCCATCATTTTCAGTCAATATTCTTTGTATATGAAGTTTTGACAAAGTTAATATACTTCTTCAGAACAACTTCGACGAACTTCCAACTACTTCGGTAACGTTGATTAGTTTTAAAGAAGTTATCGGTAACCCATTAAATCTTAGACATTAGCATTCATATGCTAACCGACTTAGATGAATATAACAACTACATTCTTGTCTGCAAAAATAAACAACGGAACTAATCGTCTGTCTACAATCTAATCTTTATAAAAGTTAAAAATTATTCCAATAAACATCACTTGTGTATTCTTTTTCTTTTCTAGAAAGTAGTCGATCATCATGAATCAGTATCAGTTGAAGAAGTTTTACGTCGACGAGCTTTAGAATCGCTGCTTCGAAGTTCACAAAAACATCGTAGTTCTCCTTAGTAATAAATGAAGGAGAATAATCATAATCATACAAAAAAAACGATCGATTTTTTGTTGATTCATGCATCTATTGTCATGATTATTTTCCTCCTTTTTTTTCTTGTTAAATTATTATATTTTTACTTGAGACTTGTTGTTTAAAACAACAAACACACTATTGTAATTGTAATCAACCATACTAGGAGGTCATTTACTTGAATATAATTTGTCAATGTGATCAATGATGATATATACATATACTTATACGTACATACATATACATACATACCTATTCATGATGATCAACCAAAAGCATTGTCAACTTTCTTTTAACAGCAGCCTTTTTGTATAAAATAAATACACGAAAAATTGTTTGTTATTTGTGTTAATATGAAATTTGCAAAATTGTATTATGACAAATTTTTATCATTGTTCCATGTCTATCTACATAACTGAAACAAAGTTGCCAAAAAATATATATATATATATACTGTTTCATGATTATTTAACAGTGTTGAATAACAAACAGCTGTGAAGAATGAATTAGAAAGAGGAGAGGCCTAGGATAGATTAGGTTGGAGAATACTAGTCGGTGGCTTATGCTCCTTCATTAGAGGTAACAGGCAGGCTAGCTAACAAAGTTGTTTTTAACTTTTATCGTAAAGAAAATAGGGTTCTTGTAACTAAGATATACATTTCAATAGTTCAGTTCTATGATGTGAACGACCATCTACTGATTGACTTGATTTTTTAGAAGTTAGATAGAGTAAGCTTAAAAATGTAAGCAAAACAGTTACTTCACCTGTGAGACTCCCACGTGATTCTGTTTGAACAGTTGAGTGCACGAATCTTTACTGGACGCGAGTGAGTTGTATCATCACTGAAAACTGGAAATCCAAATGTACTGTATGCTTTGTAAGCGTAACTTCTTAGGCCTGATTTCTTATCACCGTACAAAACTAGGTTGATGCTTTTTTCCAAGATGCATCAGAATATCAGGAAACGTTGATTTGTGACTCACTTATCTAATACCGGTCTAAGTATTCAGCCTAAAGACAACCTGTGCAAGGGCTTGTGATAACGATCGATCGCAAAAACTAAAGGCGCGGTGGGGTTCAGATTTCGGTAGTTAAGTACTTCGACTACTTTGTGACTGTTCCAGCTCAGTTCAGTATGCCAATGAAATTCGCATTATGGCTTGTCATAACTCAACAGAAATATTCACGCTTTAGGATTTTTTCTAAAAATCTGAAACCTTAGATCCAATATAAGGACTATTCATATCAGGCAATACTTTTCCTCACTGAACCCTCAGTCAATCCAAATAAAGTATTAGCCAGATGATTCTTTGTTCATAAAACCTATTTGCTAGCCTGAAACTAATGTAAGTCAGCAGTTTGTGTATTGTAATTAACCTATGAAGAATGGTTTTACCAGAGAACTGAGTCGCAAAGCAGAGAAAATACTTGTCAGTTCAATTTGATGTATACACCACATCATCATCGTAATGGTTGAAAACGTTATTAACGTACGAAGCGAAAGAAAGAAATTACCACTACAAGGTTGGTCGTAACATGAGTTCGGTCATTAAAGGCTGGTGACATCGAAAATAGAGACCTTGCACGTTCGTTCTCATCAACAGATACACTGCTATACCATTCGACATTTCCAACCGCCTAATGACTTACTCTGGCTCCTACTTAATAATCTGCACTATTCGATATGGCTTATTCTAATAAGCAAAACCATTAAAAGCTATCTTGTTGTATTCTTCCAAGAATCCCAGTAAAGGTTATTTAACCGAAATCATTTGTTTGTGATATGCTCCTACTGATCATCTGATTCCACATATAAATTCAAAATTTGTTTCTTTTTGATACTGATCGATACTAATAACACTTCAAATTATTTAAAACTGTATAAACTTTTATTTCATTGACCAATTCTTTGCATGGAAATCATTCATTGTTCAATTATCTTTGTTTATTCAGGAGAGATTCTTCATTTTTTTTAAAAAAAAGAAGTAAGCATGTCAATATTTATTATTCTTGTTCTTACTCTCTTCTCAAACACAATAAAAAAAGTTATTTTAATCAATAACTGTTGCTTAGTTAGAACATTTTATAAAAAAAAATAGCAAAATTAGACATTAATTTGTTTAAAATGATAACGTGTTTTGTTTTTTTCGTTAAGAAAAAAATTAGAGCAGACATGATTCATTTGATGAGTTTACTTTTAGTTTTTTCTTCATTGCATAATGCAAAATCAATCCGTGTTGGTAAAGTCAGTGTGCGTGTGTGTGTGTGTGTAATCATTTAAACAATTTTTAATGGTGGTCTATAACATTGATCGATTCATGGTTTCAAAAAAACTTAACAATCTTCACAACAACCCCGTATTGCAAATTACCTGTGCTCACTAGTGAGTGACTAGCTTCGTGAGGAATCTTTTCCGAGTTCTAGTGGGAAGACGTGACCAGTGAAGTTCGACCTGTTCGGGTGTAGACAGTGTAACTACCGAAGACTGTGTATGAGGTTGCGCAACTCCGTGAATTGATCAAGTTAGACATTAACACAGTTAGAGAACGGCTCAGTGGTCCGATGGTTAGGCGTTCGCCTACAATACCGACGAAGGTCCTTGGTTCGAATCATGCGGGGTGCAGGAGTCGTGGATGCGCACTGCTGAGGAGTCCCATACTAAGACGAAATGGCCGTCCAGTGCTTCTTCCAGGTTTCTAATGGTGTATGTCTAACATTGACAGACTCATTTAGAATATTAATGAGATAGGAGAATGATCACAATATGATTTATTTGATGATTACATTAGGTCAAAAATGAACAAATGAATCAGATTACAGATTTATAAATCTTAATAAATAATGTCATTTTTGAGAGAAAGCTGGGTAGTAAAATTTTAGTCAGTTGATAGTATATTTGAAGTATCCTGAGAGTATCGAGTAAGGAATGCTATCGTTAGGAGACGAGTACTAGGTAGGGTGGCAAATCAGTAGATGAAGAAGTGAAACTTCATCAGTTGAGGTGGTTGGGACATGTGTTACGAAAGCCTGCCAACCGAGTGCCTCGAAGAACGATGTTTTGTGGTATAGGAGTAGGATGGAAGAAAACTAATGAAGATCAACCCGAGGCCTTGCTCAAATCCATAAAGTCATTGACAAGTTGAGTGAGTCATGTTGGTAGATATAGGCTACCTGGTTGGGGTCCCTGAGATGATAATAATCGATGGTAAGAGACCTTGAATGACATGGCTTAGAATCGTTTGTAATGGCGCAGGTGCATCCACTCTTTGTGTTCTCTCTAAGTCTAACCTTCCGAATTCCTCATCATCTCTATTTTTCTCCTTTTAAATTTATCTTACTGAATTATACTCCTCGAATCATATCTTCAAATCGTAATCTTCTCCATTACTGCTAATAATTCTACTATCGCTATCACTCTTGGATTTGAACTAACAGTTGCGTCTCTGTGCTAATGTGGTATGTGGCCACCTGAACTGATGTACTTACGTACGAAGTTCTGTGTTGTATCTGTCTGTCTGTCTGACTGACTTATTGATAGTATGTTTATGAACTATGTAGAAATTTAAATTGTTCAGCATACCTATGTAATAAATAAACATTTTATTGTACAGATTTAGTGTTAGTACAGACTAGTTAGCATATTTTAACCTTCAGATAATTTATGAAATATAATGACTTCAACTGATAGTTACCAGAAAATTTTTGTTTTCATTGACAACTTGGCTAGTGCTTAAAATGGTTTGAATTATTTTTTCTCGTTAGCGTCTTTTTAGCTAGCTAGTTTTCTGAAGTAGCACTGTCAATATAAATATCAAGACAGTTCTACTTTATGGAGCGGAAACTTGGAAAACTACGAAAGACATCATTCAATAGATACATGTGTTTGTTAACAATGGTCTACATAATATACTCCTCATCCATTGACCAGATACCATCAACAACAACCTAATGTGGGAGAGAAGTAACCAGATTCCAGTGGAGGAGGAAATCAGGAAGAAACGGTGGAAGTGGATAGGACACACACTACGAAAAGCACCCAAATGCCTCACGAGACAAGCCCTCACATGGAACCCTCAAGGTAAAAGGAAAAGAGGAAGGCCAAGGAACACGTTACGCCGAGAAATAGAAAAAGACATGAGAAGAATGAAGAAAAATTGGGCAGAACTGGAGAGGGAAACCCAGGACAGAGTTGATTGGAGGAAACTGGTCGGGGAGCTATGCTCCATTGGGGGTAAAAGGCGTAAATAAGAATATAATGGTCAGCAAAATAATAGTAATGATAAATAGTTTTAAAGAAATAATGTCGATTGAAATGTTCTAACTGTCAGTTACTCATATAATGACTTAAGAGTTTTTATAAAATATGAAATATCAAGTTTATTCTTCTAACATCTTTTCTAATTGAGTTGGATCTGTAACGTTCAGTTTCTAATCTGTCATTATGGATGATTTATGTGTTGTTCATTCAGTAGAATTCTCTCGTGTTCACTAAACTTACACACTGACATCATAACTTGTTAATATTCCGTGATCAAAAATGAATATCCGTTGGATGTTTCAACGATGAATGTTTCCAGCGACCAAACTTTTAATACAGTCGTATATTTTTCAATTAGATTTATGGAGATTAGTGTTTGCTGAACATTGAAATCACCAGTTATTCATTGTTAGACAGGCACCATTAGAAACCTGGAAGCACTGGACGACCGTTTCGTCCTGGTATGTCTAACACCATTGGATGCCGGTCTAGTGGTCCAGCGGTTAGGCGTTCACGCGCAATACCGAACCTACTAGGTTTGAATCCTGCGAGGTGCAGGAGTTGTGGATGCGCACTGCCAGTGACGAGTCCAATACCAGGACGAAACGGTCATCTTTCAGTGCTTCCAAGTTTCTAATCGTGGTCTAACAATGACTGATTGATAATTTCAATATTCAACAGTCATATATGTTGTTTCTTAAAGTGAACTGTAAAGCAATAGGTCAGTAGTTACGTACATATATGTCATATGTTCGAATCCTACTTCACCACCTGTGTATGCTTTGACGGTCGAATAGCATGATTACTCATCAAAGTATTGTATATATACAGACGTGCAATAAGCAAAATTAATCAAAACTAGAATAAACATACTCAACTCCATTGAATTTAATGATTTGAAAGACTGGGGTCGATTGATTACATGTTGCTTTTGACTTTATAAATTTTCTTCTCATACGCGTGTTAAAATACTTTGTAATGTGATTAGATTACAAACAGTAAAATCAATATTTTAAAACAACTTTACAGAAGCACTACTGCACTACACTTACAGCTTTCATTTTTATATTTGATGAGTTGAATAAATAAACCAGATAACAATCTGATGTCAACAAGAAAAATATCCAACTTACACCCTAGAAATATACTGTTTACAAGCATTCCCACCCGAATGAGATATGGCAGTGAAGACTT